GTTTTATGTCTCATATTAACCAGATAGTGGTTTTATATCTCATGTTAACCAGATAGTGTCTTTATGTCTCATATTAACCAGATAGTGGTTTTATATCTCATGTTAACCAGATAGTGGTTTTATGCATCATACTGTAGCAGTAACTTAGATGGACTGTCAGTCCTCAAGACTTCGGTCAACACATTCCTCCTCTCCATGCCTACAAGAGAACAATGACTTATTCATTTATCTCCAAGCCTTTTTGTTTACTATCTACAAGTGGTAAGATAGCAACAGGACATGACCACCTCCGATTGATTAAGTACTGTGTAAGAACCCCTTTGATGTGCTCAAAATGGACGCTTATCACAAAGAACTCAAGCTTTTTGCAGACTGTAAGTCTACCAGGAGTGGGTTTGCTGCAGTAAAAAAAAAAACCCTTTGAGACCGGATCTCCTGCTGAGATGTAACACCTAGACAGGCTTCAAAAGGATACATTTACATACCATCTCATTTATGGTTTTAGAGCGCCCCCAAAAGACTGGTTTCATAATTACATCACGAACAAATGTTTTTCCGTATTTATTATTCTGATATAAAAAAGAGAAAAAAAGACAATTGTATTCTCTACCATGATTCAATCATTGAAATAATGTACTGTTTTAATTACCTCACAAGTAATCTATCACCCTGTGTGTTTAATCAATTTTGGTGGTGGAAGACTGTGAAGAGGAAGGCAGCTCATGTGACTGTTTTCAGCCAATCCTGAGTTTTCAGAGTCAGAACAATAGATACAGTTTAGTTCAGTTCAGTCAGAAGTAAGCTGTAAGAGTTTGAAGAAGAAGTGGGGGAGGACGAGCTCCAGTTTTCCCCTTTGGGGACATTTTTCTTTTCTTTTCTTTTTCTTTTATTTTATTTCGTTTTATTTTTTTAACCTCAAAGTTGTTGATTCCTATTTATAGTGCAGGACCGGATTTATGCTGGAAGAGAGCTTGATCAGAATCTTTTTCAATCAACACGGATCTAGAAGCAGACCCCTTGTTCCAGCTTGGAGCTGCCCCAAGCCGCTCCGAGGTGTTAAGTTGTACCCACAAGGGACCGCTCTGAAATCGGGCGACATCGCTGAACCAACTTCGCTCAAACTCCGGTACCCTGGGACAGCCTTGCAAGCATCTGAAGTGGTAGGACAGACATGCTTTCTCTGCCAATGGTGTGCTCAGCTGAGTGGTGTGGTAAAGGTTCTGGATCATTAAGTTTGTATTGAGGAAGGATCTGGCAAGTTCATTTCCCTCATAATTCAAGTTCCATCTTAATTGATGAATTAACACTTTCTTTTATTAATCTTTAAGTTTCTTCTAATTTTTGCTAGTGTGGACTAGTTTAGGTGGTTCAGTTAGAATGATGCTAGAGGTGATTAGAGGGTGATAATGTTATGTTATTATTAAACCACAAGGTTGTGATAATAATGTTACTTTTGCCCAAATAATCTGTTTGTATTGTCACTTCTGAATCAATTAATACAGGTTATATTCTGAAATATATGCTCTTCTGTGCGTCCATTATTTTGTTGTACTCTCTAAACTGGTAGAATTCACTATTCAGTATTTGAGATTGACTAAGATCCATAAATTAATTTCCTGTACTTCCAGGTGGTGCCCCGTTATTATGCTAATAAGTTACGAGGAACTTAAAATTTAGCAACTGTTCAATAATCAACAGCAGAATCTCACTACAATACTAACCAGCTGACAATCAGAATCCATTCTATGGGACGGGGAACCTGCTAACCGGCACAGGCGAGACATTCTGAAGCCATTCTAGGTGACTGATAACTCATAATAATGTCCATTTAATGGATGATAACATGTGAAGCGGGTGACAGTTCTTTGTTCAAATTATTGACCAACTCAGTTTTGGAGACACAAAGACAGAAGCAATTTGACCTTGACCACCCTGAACTTTTTGCTCCTCATCCAAATTGACTGTATCCTCAATAACTGTGATGTCTGAGCATGTCTAGGTGTGAGTTTTGCTCTTGCAGTCACAGCATGAAGTTTGCAGGTGAGATTTTAAAGCTCTGTGTCTCCCTGTCACAGATGACATGATTCACAGGATTACATGTGGATTGTTGTCCATTTGGGGCAGCTTTTGTCCCAGCAAGTGGAGCTGCACTCTATTAAAAGCACTTGAAGCCCACAGAGACCACACTGACACACTCTGACATTTTCAAGACTGGAGTTGAGGCAGAACAGTAGTGTTAAAACATCTCCATTTTAAGCAATAAGCCATACCTAATTATTACCTTTTTTTGCAGTCAAACTGGGTTTCTATGTATTTGCTAAAACTATCTATAGCAATAATATTTTTGTGTCATTGACTCATTCTTTAACCTTTGATTTAAAACTAAAGCCTTCATTCAGGAGACTGTGGGCTGGAGACTAAAATATTTAGTAACTTTACATGTTCATATTCATGTCAACAAACATTTAGATCTAAATAATAATATTAATATGCGCATTTGTGGCTATGACAGGGCACCAGACACTTGGAGAAATCCCTTGTAAGCACAATTAGAACATATAAATTCTGCACAGAATGGCGACAGCTAACTGTCCAGCTGGTATTTTTGGCAGTCTGATTTAGCTTCTCACACTTGGCTTCTTTTCATCTGTTCTGTTGGACAGTTTAATTGATTTTATGGCCTTTTGTGGCCCAGTTTTGGTTGCTGTGCATCTGTTTGTTTTGCTAGTTTTTTTGTCCTTTTTTTAAATTCAATCTAAGTTTTTATCTTAAATCTAATCAGTCTGTCTCTTTATATCTCACATGTAATTTGAAATGTTTTGCAAGTTGGGGAGTGGGATTTTGCAGCTCTTTTTTTGGTGGGGGGGTCGATTTTGTTGTTCAAATATCTTTGTTTATAGGGGGAGTGGTGGTGCAGAAGCTAGTGACGTGAAAGCCTGTGATCAGTCATCCTGTAACCTGAGTTGCTAGTTCAATCCCCTGTTCCATCCAACTCATTTACCGTGTTCTTGGGCAAGACACTTCACCCGCCTAGCTGACTGATGATCATCAGAGGGTCCGAGGGCATGGTCTATGGCAGCTCCACCTCTGTCAGTGTGCCCCAAGGCAGCAGTGGCTACAGTCTACCATGTGCATGTGTGTATAAATGAGTTAAGTGTAAAGTACTTTTGGAGTCCATAGGGACTTGATAAAGTGCTATAAAGGTCGAAGCCATTTACCATTTAACCAAAAAATCAATGTATCTTTTGGTATCTTTTGTTTTATTTATTTATTTATTTATTTATTTTTAGATTTTTTGTGTGTTTTAAGATGTTTAATTCACATTTTGTGATCTTTGGGTATGGTCTGTCGTGTTTTCCTTGGTTTTCCTCTCATACATAATTTCCCTCTTTCTGAGGTCATATTCACACCTGATAGTCTGGTAGACTCGGTTCGATTGGGGACCAAAACTGCAAGCTTTGTTTACATTTTCTGTTGGTGCTGTTTGAATTCACACTGCACTTTCTCAACTGACCTAAACCCTGTAAACAACCTGTTCCCACCCTCACCTGTGGGGGCGCTGCACCAAGAACCACTAAAGGAATCAACATGAAAACCTAAGAAGAAGACATGGAGCACAACTTCCTTCTTCACAAAATCTAAACAAACAATAGTAACGTTACATTTTAGTGGTTGTAGGGTTTATTTTTTTTAAATGTGCTAAACAAACAGTCTTCAGCAATGAGCTCAGCATGAGAGGAAGATGAGGCGGAACCACAGAATGTTGTTTTTACACAAGGCGGCTGAGGAAGCTCCATGTTAATCCAGCAGGACCACGTCCAGCACCACAGTCATGATGTCCACCTTATACAGACGTCCAGCGAGGTTTTTACACCATATAAGTAAATTTATTACTGTTATTACTCAGAATGTCATGCAGGATAGTCTACTTCCTGCTTTTGGAGCGGTCTCTGGTCCACTTAGCGTTCATACATGCAGTCGAATCGCACCAGAGTTCGTTTCAATCGAACTGAGACCTAGGTTTTCAGGTGGACCAGAGTTCGCATTTTTGGTCCGAATCAGAGTTCGATTTCACATTCACACCTCCACAAACGAACCGGACTTTCCAGGCAAACGAACTAGAGTTCGATTAAATCGGACTAAACAGTGCAGGTGTGAATACGCCCTTAGTCAGCTTGCCACACCTACTCTCACCTGTTCCCAGACAGTATTCAGCTCAGATGTCCTTCTCGATCTGTCTGTCTTGTGAGCTAGATAAATAAAAAAGGTGAGATACTGACTTTTTCTTTTTTGGTGTGTAGCCTTTCAGATGGCGGCCCACAATGTCAAAACAACATAATGGATATGGTGACAAATAAATGTTTGGATCATTTTTCAAAAGAACAAACATTCAATAACAAGTCTTTAAAGGCAGGTAAGAAAAAATAAATAACTTTTGGAAGTAAAAACTTCAGATTTCTTAACATTTATTAATGGAACCATCATGGTCTGTCCTGTGCAGAATGACAAAACACTAAATTATGTCTTTACTAAAACCTCTGTAACTTTGCTCCAGTTCATTTTAGCAGCATGGATCTTTGCACAGGTGATGTCCACAAGTGGATTTATGGTTTCCAAGAGTTTTGATTAAATCTCCCAAGTCTTTGCTTTATTTTGATACCAAGATTGTTTAAGTGGAGTTTGTAAATGCTGAGATTCACTCAGTTACATTTCAACATGTTTTTTTGAGCCAAAACATCAAGAAAACACCTTTGGGGCTGAAGAGGTTAATACTCCTCTCCCTCACATCCAACATTTGTCATGGAGCCTCAATGTGTTTTGGTCAAGAAGTTGCAAAGGTTCATTATGTATGGATAACATTCAACGATTTCTACAGCTACAAATATAGTTCATATTCTCCTTCCTTCCTTCCT